AGCGTAAAAGAACGCAATTGTTACCACGGTAAAAGAGAAAATAGCCGATAGCGCTATCAAGCACTCGAAGCGCTCTTAAACACCTTCTGCAGATATCGATTTTTTTCACATAAAATTACTTCGAAATCGCTTTTGCTGATATATAATTTCTATTCCACACATCTGCATAAAGTATCGTTTAAGAAAACAAAAAAAATGGATTTTTTTTCGGGTCAAAGGTATCACTACCCCTTAATACGGAACGTGTTGAAAAATGAATTTTCAAAGTTTAAAAGGAGGAGGGTCAATAAGGTTGGTTTTTGGCCCGAGTTCGGATTCAGCCTAATATACCCTCATTTGTTTGTGACTCATAAGACCATGAAGTAGTTTTTCCAAAATAATAATTTATTTGGACTTACCAAGTACTTTTAAAATTGATTTTTACATTGGTTTTCGAAAATTTCAGCTTAATTTCAAATAAATTTGAAAATTTATTAATATTTATTTTAATTATTAATTTTTTTTATAATTTTAATTATAATTAAAATTAGGCTAAAATTTCATTTAAATGTTCAAGAAAGTTTCGCGATAAACAGTTATTTAAGTGGGACATTTAAATCTTTACATAACTTTCAATAAACATTGCAATTAAATATTCCAAATATTGCAAGTAAATATTTACTAAATTTTCAGGAAAGTTTCGGTGCTGTTGTGGAGGTATATTAGAGCTATAAAAATATGCAAGAAATATCATTTTTTGCGTGCGCTTCCTTTCAAAATGGCGCTGGAATAAAAACATTAACCATTGCCTACGAAAAACTAACTTTGGATTTGTAATCAGCGATCCCAAAAACCCCCAAGTAAAAAGTTTCAGGCGATTCTGAGCATATTTTATTTTTGGTACTTTACCTCTTTTAACTCCTCTAAAACCCCATTTTAACACTATATCCAAAAAACAAAGAATATGCTCCACTCAAAATAGTAATGATGAAGTACATTAGAATAGGTTTGATTGCGAAATTCGCGGTCCGAAAAATGGGCTAAATTTAGCGTCACTTTTTTCGTAACATTTCTTTTACATTATCCACTCGTTTTACGGCTTTCTCTATCAAATAAAATTCTACTAGCACAGTGAAAGTTTAGAATGAGTTTGTATTTGATTGAAGATAAAACTTTTCGAAAAATTATAAGACCAGCGTATAATAATATAAATCTTTCCTATGTAAAATGACCCGATGAATCCAAAAATGAAGCCCAAAATTAAGAAAGTAGAACAGTTTTTAAGGGAAGATTACGGTGATTTTTTTCAAAAAATCGAAATTATTTTTTTTTCATTTTTGGTTAGTATAACTATTTAAGAGCATGGAATAATTAGTCTAAAGTATTTCCATGGTCTAGAACTGATATAAATTGAGTAGCAACATGCAACAACTCACCGAGCGCGCAAACGCACGCATTTATTCCGGTCGGGTAGCAGTAAACGGCTCAGATCCACTCACTGGTACTTGACTGGCAATAGATTACTTGAAAATGATCTTTCAGAAGTCAAAGAAGGATCTATGTATGTAGCCGGTATCGCCGATTGAGTAAGAATCATTTTTTTGCAGGGATGTGTCCAGAAACGTGAGAAGTTTTTTTTGCCTTTGATTGAAATACATAACCAACAACAATTTTGAGGTTAGACGCATGAGACGTTAGAAAAGAAAATATTAATTAAGTGAGAAATATTAATTGTTTTTTAGAAATAAAACAAATTTTACTTAGCAAAATTGTCACACAGCTTATTAATTTTTATCATATTCATATAACACTAATAAATAATTGCATAATAATACATTAAATCAAGGCGGGGAACGGACTCTTTAATAGATGCGCTACTGCATTCAGAGATACTTCCCTTTTCTCCTCACCCCGTTTTAGCGCCTAAGCTTTCCAAATAATCAGCGTCCTAATAACCGGCGTTCCAGTGTACATTTACTTGTCCTGACACGTTACTAAAGAGACTCGGATTTTGTTTTCATTCTAAATACTCTATTCAACATTAGCCAAACATTCCAATCTCAAAAATTCTGAGAAATGAATGTTTATCTAATTCTATAATTTACTTTATTACTCAGATTAAATAAAAATACTCTATAAATTTCAATAAATGAATATTTACATCATAAATAAATATTATATTAACCCTTTCAGTTCTATATTTTTCAACGCAACAAAGTTTACAAATCATTGTACCCTTAAGGGTTTTTGGGGTCGCTAATTAAGAATCCGATATCAGTTTTCTAAAAATTCAAAATGGCGATTCCAATATGTCAGACGATTTTTTAAAAAAATTATCGTATTTGCATGAAACTCGTTACTCAGAGGTTATTAGGGTCGCTGATTACGAATCCGATATCAGTTTTCAAAATGGCGGATCCAATATGTCGAATAATTTTTCAAAATGTTATTTATTATTAATATGGATATTTTGATTAAATCTGTTAAATACAGTGAGAAAATGTTTTATATAAAGTTTACTTAAAAAGTTGGGTAAAATGGCTACACATGCGCTTTTGAACAAAGTTTCACCAACTGTAGTTCAAAATAAATTTTTAGTAGATGAAAATAAAATTGATAAATTTTTAAAATAAACTTCATAAAATTTCAGCAACACTTTGAAGAGAATATAAAACTGTGAGTTAATTATTATCAAACCACATTTTAATAAAATGTAGCCTAAAAATGTGGGAGAACGTATTCAACACATTGCAGAGTTTCACTTTCTATAAAGCTTAAACAGTCAAGAGTTGGGTAAAATGTGAACTTTAAATGTGAATGAGTCCGATGAAATATTATTGGTGGGGGGATAGGAGCAAAAAATCATTCTTACTTATCGACAGTTGGTTCTAGCATTGATTCCTGTATTATCTACACTATGAAACATAAAAGCAAAGTTTTAAAATAAATTTTTTTCAATTTTTAAATAAACAACAATAAACTAATAATAATAAAATATATAAAATATTTAACATTAAATGAAAATACTTATTATGAAATCCCATTTTTTAGTGTGATAGGTTCAGGTGCGTAATAAAAAACTTGGCGCCCTGTTAAAATATATATGATTTTATAATCTATAATTGTTGATAATTATTAACTTTTATCTTTTTGAACTGCTTTATTAAATGTAAATGCTACTAGTAAACTTATTTACAAATTTTTAAAAAGTTTTATAAATAATGTTTAAGTAAAAAATTTTTACGGGTGCCTAGAGTTTCACATTCAGTCCTGGCAGAAGTTGCGTGGTGGGGACATACGTTTTTCTCAACTTTGAACGAACTGTGACACACGCAGACGAATAAGTACACAAGTAAAGCATAAAGTACTACCAAAAGTAAATCAGTTTATGATCAAATGCATTTTATAGTTTAGTCTAACATTTGTTTTAATCTTTACACTACTGTTTGAATACACTTTAAGAAATATATTTTAATAAACATACAAGAGAATTTTAAATATTAGAAAAATGCCCATGTGTATCCATTTTTCCCAACTTTTGACTATACTTTAAATATATCGTTTTCTCAGTGTATTAATTATTTTCTATAATGTAAGTGATATATAACCCTAACAACAACGGATATTACAGGATATCCTATGGACGTCCTAGCCGTATCCGGAAATTTGGATATCTCTAGGATGTCCTCAGGATATCTATGGATATCATATGGATATCCTAATTATCGGATATCCTTAGGACGTCCATAGGATATCTTGAATATCCGGATGCTGTTATTATTATTAATAATAATTGAGTAAAAAGTTAAAGAATATTTGATGATTTATATATTTTCTAGATAGTAAATTTCTCGGAAATCTTATTTAACATCTAATAGACTGTCAACGTGTTGATAAACAATTTTTGTTGTATACGACTTATTTATTTTACTCTTTAAAATGTATGTTTTATCATAAAAATTGTAACTAATAAATATTTTTTTTACTATAAAAAATTTTTTTTTTGAAAAAATCCTCAAATTGACCGTAATCCCCTCTTAAGATATCGTTGTTTTTTCACATTTTTCACTATGAAAAAAAATTTTTTTATTTAAATGTAAATATTTTTGGTTCCAGTGGACAGATTTTCTTTTTTTTAAGTCAAAGGTAATTAATTTTCCAAACAACTGTCTATAAAATATTTTTCAATCCAATCATCGCCTTAAACGCTATTGATGAATATATCGACAATTTTGATTCAAATTTGTGAAAATTTAGATAAAAAACTGGATTCTATTATTGATTGCGGTTAAATATAATTTTTAATGACCCGATTCATGATTGCCTTATTGAAAATACCTGTACAAGATTTTGTACAAGTAAATATATTTAATATTTGTATACCAGAAAATGTACATGTTCTTGTACAAGTTCATTTAAAAAATTTTTTTTTTATTTTAAGATTTTAATAATTTTGAATAATTCAAACCTTTTATTTATGCATGCTAAAAATTATTGCGCAGCTGTAAAGTCGTAAGAAAACTACTGCGCAGCCTTTAAAGTTTTTAATTTTTACTAAACGAAGACATAAATGAACCAGTACAAGAACATGCATTTTCTTATATACAAATATTAAATATATTTACTTGTACAAAATCTTGTGCAAGATCTCTCGTACTAGAACTTGTTCCAAATTCTGGTGCCGAAATTGTACAAGATCTTATACATGTTCTCACCAGTTCAGATGCTGAACATGTACATTTTCTTGTACAAGATTTTGTACAAGGATTTTCAATAGGGTGGTAATTAAAGTGTGATGTGTGACGATAAAAATAAACTTCCATTTAAAAAAATCGGTTGAAAAATATAGAAGTTATAAGCATTTAAAAAATGCAGAAATTCAATTTTTCACATTTTTATGATTAACCTGATTTTATTTAATATAGTGTTAATTTAAAATCTTTTAACATATTAAAAGTGACTTATGGATGATTAAGTCATTCTTTTATGTTGAGTAGTAGTTTTTCTAAAGAGAAACTCACCCATCAACGCTTCATCCCACAATCCCTGGTACCGATTTTCCATTGTCTTGTGTAATTTTTTTCATTTTGACAAATGATGTAAACTTATTATTTACGCATTTCAACAAAAAGATTTTTTTATTTTTGCTTAGATATTATATGGGGACTAGCCCTAAAAATGTGTGAGTCACCTAGTGTGAAACAGACTGAATTTCGCCCCTCTTCCCCTTAAGGGAAGAGGAACGAGAATGCGTGAACTATTGCCGGCAGATTCTCTCCCGGATTAAGCGAGATTGATAGTACGTTTGTTAGATATAATATAAACTGTGATAAACAATAAATATTAAGATACAAATATAATTTATATCAGTGTTAAATAAAATAGTGTTATCAATTATTTATCTGATCCCACATCAATGCGTACGGGTTTGTGAGTCGGCCCGAATAAAAATATAAAGTATGCGACATTTAATCGCATGAAACAAAATCGACTACAATTACAACTAGTTTTTAATAAAATTATAATAACAAAATAAACATAAATTTACTTGTTAAAACTATTAAATTTGTTTGCAAATTATATATTTATTTAGGAGTATTTTTATTCCTTATGTAATTTATTAAAATAATTTCAATGTTATTCATTATGGTAAAAAGAATTTTATTATAATCTGGATCCCATTCCACGTCGGCATATCAGGAAACGACACAGCAAATTCCCTTGCAAAAACTGCCTGTGTACTACAAACTGTAGACGAATCGGCAACCATCGAACCCCAAGACATGATAAAACACTTTAAAGAGGAAACACTAAAACTCTGATACAACGAATGGAAAGCAAAATCTTCTAAATTACACGAAATCAAAAACCATGTCTATGATCAACAACAAATTTCACTGGAAGACAGTAAAGATCCCTAGTAGAAATATACGACCGCGCAATTACTGGTGCAGTACTATTTGCCGTAGTACCAGTACTGGCTGCCAGTACGGTACCAGTAGTAGGTCTGTACTGGCTTGTAATGCTTGTCGGTACTGGTTTAATGAATTTTATCTGTACTGGTGTAGAACCATCAACCAGTAATGTTCTGGTACTGGATTAATACCGCCTATCCAAATCATCGTATTTAAAAAAGGGGAATTTTTATTTTGATAAAATTAAATAAAATTTTTATTTTAATTAAAGTAAATATTTTATTTTATAATAAAGAATTTCTACATCATTAAATTTAAACAGTTAACGGAAACAAAAAATTATAATAATATAATTAATTAACAAATGGGTAAATAAAATATTTTTTATATTATTATTATCATTTTCGTACGTTAAATGACAATAAAATATAAATAACATGAATAATTAATTAATATATTAAATAATTATTATTATTGCTACATTATTGACATATATACAAATATTATATTTATAAATATATTTATATATACATATATATATTTGTATATATTGTTTATACAATAATAATATATTAAAAGTACTAATTAAATGATTTTTATTTACTCTGCTTGACGGACATTTTCCGATGAGTGCCAGATAAATTTATCCCAAGTAATTTCTTATGGGAAGAATTTATCTATGACGGATCGGGAGGTTTAGATTTATTTTTTTTTAATTTACTTCTTAAAGTTGTTTTTACGTACTTTCTAAAGATTTAAATGTTGTCGTGGCGGAAAAATTTTCCTTCGATATTCCGTGAAATGGTTTTCCTGCCTTACTGTACTTTAATTGAACTTCCTTTTTAATGATTCTCGGTAATATAATACCGATTGCAACGTTGGCTGATTTCGCGCGTGCTGCATAAAGATGCATGAAGTGAACCTATTTTTCAAAGAAATTTTGTCATTAAATAAATAAAAATAAAGAAAATCATAAAATTAAATTAAAAATCAAAAACTTACCACATGAAGTAGAGATTCTTCATTATTACTAAGAGTTTGGTCAAAATCTTTAAAATCTTGTACCGTTTCTTTTGGCAAAGTTTTCAAAATTGATTTCTCCGTAATTTCAGAGATTGTAGTTGCAGCTTGATTTATTACTACCGCATCTGACAACGTGTCTAATCTTCTGTTAATATAATGTAAAAGTCGTCTTTCTAAAAGTTCCATCGATTTTGTGAACACTTCAGTCAAATCTGAAATAAGAAATAGTGTCATAATTAAAATAATTAAATGTTGTGTAAATTTAAAAAAAAAATTTAAATAATTAATTTAAAACTAACTTACCAGTATCTTTTTTGCAGTATGCACATTTTTTACTATTCCAATGATTAGAATTTTCAGTGACTCTTCTTTCGGAAGCAGAAGCATATGGACTTTTAAATTTTCTTGCTCTTGTTTGAGCTGGTTTTGTAAATGATGCTTTTTCGGACTGCTTATATTCGTTGTTGTTCGGTTCGAGTTCTTCTTCAGATTCTACATCTGGAAAGTTTTGTATCACTGAATGGATTGACGAAAAAAAATACGTTGGGTCTCATTCACTTTACTTTGCGAATTGGCGATATTTTTCGCACCATTAACTCTTCTGACGGAAGTAGAAGCGTAAGGACCTTTAAATTTTGATTTAGTTTGAGCTGATTTTTTAAATGATTTTCTGGACTGATTATAATCGTTGTTGATCGGTTCGTGTTCTTCGTCAAAAGAATTGTCCAAAGATTTTTCAGATTCTGTATCAGTAAAATTATCTTTCACTGAATGGATTGGCAAAGAAGCTACCGGCAAGGCATTCCCTGTAAATGTTAAAAAAAAGATATTATTAATGAAGTATCAGTATTCTGTAAAATTTTAAATAAGCAGACATAAAAGTTTCGAAAAAAGAAAGCAATAAATTTTTTACGTATTATGTATAAAATATATAAAAGGTTCCTTTTAAACAAAGAATAAAAATACCTTGGGTCTCATTCGCTTTACTTTGCAAATTGGCAACGACATTTTTCGCTTCGGCTAAAATGGCATCAGCTGATTCATCGCAACTTGAATCGGAATGTTCTCGAGGTTCATCACTTAAGCAACTTTCCTGAAAGGTACTTGTATCAACAATTGCGCTTTCGAAGGCTCTATCCTGGCGCCTTATTCCTTGCTGAAAAGAACCTTAAAAAAGTAAAATAATAGTTAAATATTCAATAACATTAATTTAAGTTTTATCGGATTTATAATTTTAATAATTAATATTATTCTTACTTGCTTCTCTTAATAAAATTACAGCCCATTCTCCCCACTTTGGATCAGGATGTTTTCCAGTTTCAACCCACTCATCAATAAATTTATATTCTACGATGGGTGGATATTTACAAAACCACTGCTTCTTGCTTCTTTTATAAATGACCCAATATCTGGGCACTAGTTCAACGACTCTTTGCCCTTTACTGCTTAGTTTAATGAACTGCACAACAACATGGGTTGTATTTTTGTGCAAACTTTTGATATTCATTTTCACGTGTTCCATTAGTAACCTTCAAATATAACAAAGTATCTATGTATGTGTGTATGCAATAAAAATTTATTTTTGCTATGTGGTACAATTTGATGATGAATTATTTAAAGTTTAGACACGAAACCTTGTAAAAGAACATGTAGAAAGTGCTTTTCTAAAATTTGGAGGTTAGAAATTACGTCATGAATTTTTTGTTCACTACAACTGAATTAGAGAGAGTATTGAAAGTTTTAATATATATGTTAATGTCATATAAAATAGAAGCAACAATAGCAATCATTTTATCAGAAAAATTTCTATAAAAAAAACACAAACACTGAATAAAAAATCTGATGCAACACGTGACTATTGATTTTCGATCAAAATTTTCTTGCTTGTAATCCAATAGTGTAATAAAAATTATGTTTTAAACGCAATAAATGTATTTAAAAAAATATTTTGTAATATAAAATACACTGGACAATTAATTATTTGTGTTAATTTATTTGTGCAAGTAGTGTGAGTACACGTGGTTGATGCGTCGCGATCTATAACTTTGAGGTTAGAAATCGTGTTCTGAATCTTAACGCATTTTCAACACTTTAATGAGAAAAATATTTAGTACTATAAGAAATTGATAAATATAAAATATAAAAGGTAACATAATTACATGACTTTACCTTGACAATTTCTGTCAGAGCGATGCTATCAGAGAAATAGATGGTGAAACGGTGTATACACAGATGATTGCGTACGGCAAATGGCCGATTTAACATTTGTCTATTGGGCAGGCAAAACTTAGCAGACAAAGATAGAAGTAATTGTAGCGTGCGAAAATACGTCCATTCAAAGTTTGAAAAATAACTGATACTTTTTTAAAAATGAATTTGATGACTATTGTTTTCTAATATAATTCAGCACCAATTTATCGATTTTAGATGAAAGAAGATATCGATAAAAATTCCCTATTCATAGTTCAGTGATGCAATAAAGGAATTGCATAGATTCTTTTTTCAGAATTTTCGTTCACCCACATGACAACCATTTTTCGATTAATATCAGTTAAAAAATAACTTTTCAGCACATTCCTTTCATCCTTCTGCATTTCCCACATGTATTAATCACTCGAATCACGAGGGTAATCAAAAATAGACTTCTTCTTTTCCCATACATGTCCAACAATTACTATTTTGTCTAACGAATGATATTCTTTTAATTTAACGATGTCAGCGATTTTAAAAATCTTTTTGTTGGAACGCATCATAGTGTTGTCTGGATAAGATGTGGAAATAGTTAAGTTTGTGTATTTGAGTTTTTTAATCCTCGTTTGATCTTCTGTCACGGATTCGGTTTCAATTATTTGTATGACAGGTGGCGATGATGGATTTTTGTTTACAGTCATTTCAAATAACCGTCGACAAATTTGAGACAAGGGTCTATTTCCACTGCGAACAAGTTTTTTTAATTTACCCAAAAAAAAATTTTCAAATGGACAAGCGGTGATGTTTTTAAGACTGGAATTCAATAATTTTGCATCATCTGCTAAATGCATCAGATTATGCATGTTCATCACTTGCATTGAAGTTTCATAGGTATGCTTTAAAAGTTTAAAAAAACAGATCAAATAATGCTTTGCTAAACTGTTCCATGAAATAGCAAATTCTTCATCACACAAAATGCGACAAGCTACGTGCAACAAAAGAAAATGCTGGGAAAGTCGAGGACTTAAAATGTTTTTAAAAACAATTGGACCGCTATACATATAAGAGACAGAAAAGAAGCTCAGTCGCCTTCTATTTCGGAAGAAACTTTAAAGATCGAGGTTTCCTCGGAAATTCAATTGGAACTTGATTTTTCAATGCTTTCAATCTTT